TGGAAATACAAACTTAAATCCAAAAGTAATGCTACTAGGATTTCTAGTTCACACATGCATGGGTTTATTCCAAACAAAACATATTTAAATATGTCTCTGTGAGAAGGGGATAATTATGGCCAAGTTCTTTTAGTTATAATTACACTTGTCTTAATCTCGCTAGGGTATCTAAAAAAAAATTTTTTTTTAAGTCTAATAAAAACAGTGGCTTTTGAGGGGATCTGCTGGGCTGGATAAATTTAAGGTAAAAAGATCAGCTCAGAAGGTTGTGATGCCTGGTTTGGTTTTCAAAGGAATCCTCTTGATAGATTTTCTTGAAGGACAAAGGATAATCATGGGTCTTAGGAAAATGGAGGTATTTCCTCCCTATCATGACAATGTACCTGCTCTGAGGATACAGGGCTGCCCTAGAAGAATTTCATTGGGAAATATTACCCGATCCACCCTCCACCCTGGCCTGACCTCTTCAGGGTTCTTTTTCTTCCACAACAAAAAAAAAAACAAAACACATTCCAACAAAACACACTTTGTGCCACTGAGTGGATGCCGACTCACAGCAATCCCATAAGACCAGGCAGGACTGCCCTGTGCGTTTCTGACACTTAACTGATTAGTGTAGTTAAGCCCCCTTTCTCCAGAGGAACAGCTGGTGGTTTCAAACTGCTGACTCTTTGGATCGCAACCCAATTCATAACCACCAAACCACCAGGAATCCCTGGTATAAATCAAAGAGTGAGGAATTCTTAGAGGATGGGTTATACTCTACCACCTCCAGAAGGGCACAGCCATGAGAAGCAATAGTCTTGCATTTTAATGTTTGTTTTAACAATGGTTTCTATGAATTTATAGCAATACATTTTGACTCATTCTAATACAATGGAGGGCGGACCCCAGGGCAAGTATTCACCTGGCTTCCTAAGTCAGCTTCTAACTGGCAGTGTGTCCTCGGACCAGGCATCTCCCCTCAGAATCACATAGGTTTTCAACCCTGGAAATAAAGGGGTTGGCCTGGCTGAGGTGAGAAGAAAACTGAAGTTCAGGGAATAATTTCCCTCAAGGTCACAGTTGCAGAGAGGAGAGCCAACATAACCTGAATTCAGCTGATGTCAAAGCTTCCCCATTCTTAACCACCATACTAAACACTAGTACAGTGAAAGGCAGTATAGCATAGTGGGTAGAAGCCTGGACTCTGGTACTGAGCCAGTAAGTTCAAATCTCCCCTCTGCTGGTTACCAGCCACTGTCGATGAATCGGTTGTTTTTGATTTCCCTTGCTGTTTTCAACCCAGAGGCAGGGATGAGAGCGCCTTCCTCCAGAGGGCTGCAGTAATGAATTTGTATAAAGCAATAAATGTAGCAAAGTAATGAATGTAACACATGGGAAGATGTGCTACAATTTAGCAACATGTTTTCTCCCAATGTTACAAGGTCTGAGATTAGCCAAAAAAATCAAGTGATCTATGCAGCCGCTTCACCCTGTTCCCATTAGTTAAGAATATCACCCATTTCACAGATAAGGAAATTGAGGCGGTTGCTAAGATCTCTCCTTCCTCACTTCACATCCACTGACTAAAACTAACAGACCATGACGACCTTATTGATTTACTCGGTTACTTGTGCTTACTGTCCACTTCTGTGATCCGAGGCAGCAGATCTTTGGGTGTCAGTAAAGGAACCTGAATGACGTCCGGGGCCTGGTCCCGCAGAGATTAGTCTGGCTCAAAGGCGAGCAAGGAGCCCAGGCAGGCTCGGGGTTCCCTCTCCCCCGTAGATTTGGGTGAGTCACATTGACCAATGAGTGTTGCCTCCTTCGCGGATGGTCAAGACCCCTTCTCAGGCCCCCCCCCCCCCCAAGTACTCAGCCCTTCCAGCCGGCCACCGGCTGCCTGCGGACAGGTTCTCCCGGAGGAGGCTGGCCCGACCGACCCAGGAGGGGCATGGCAGCTGGACCCTGAGTCACCCCGATAATCTCGGCAGCGTGCTCCCTACTCCCGGGCCAGGTCCGGGATCGGAGCCCACCGCCCGCCATGGTCTCAGGACCGTAATGCTGACCTGGCTTGCCTGGGTCGCCAGAAGACCACGGCCGCTGGGCATCGCACGGCGCGGGCCTTCTCGGCCTACCTGGAATCCAAGCTGGAGCCACGTCCTGAGTGCAGCGCGGCTGCAGCTTGTGGACAAGAGGAGCCGACTGGGCACTCACCTCTCCGCGGGGGCCGCACGCGGGCGGCAGGGACGGCCCAGGTGCTGAAGCGGCGGGGGCCCGGCTCTCGCTCAGGCAGCGGCCATGTTGCTGGTGGAGAAACTCCGATGGACACGTGGGGGGAGCTGGGCGGACACTGCACTTCCTCTTACCCACAATGCCCCGCCCCGGCGCGCGCAGACCCGCCCCCTCCGCCGGTCCCTTCCTACGGGCCAAGAACCGAGGCTGACGCATGCGCAAAACGAAACTGGGTGCGACTAGGGGAGGGTGTAGGGGAAAGTGAAAAAAACAAAAACGGACCTGATCCTGGCAGCGGTGGGATTCGAACCCACGCCCCCGAAGAGACTGGAGCCTTAATCCAGCGCCTTAGACCGCTCGGCCACGCTACCAAGCCGCTGGCTGTCGTCTTCAGAATGCTATTTAGTACACTTAAAGGTATTTATGGTGATTTCACTATATTTTTGTAGGTTACAATATATATTTATTGATATATTTTTGTTTCATGTACTCCATATAAGCCAAATGGAATGATTTATTATTTATATCCTGTATTTTTAAATATATATTTTCTTCAGTCATTAGACCCAGACAAAGCAGGTCAGAAAACAGTTTAAAGTTCTGCATTCCGAGTGAACCCTCAGAGTAGAACAACCCGGGTTCCGTGTCTCAGTAACACGGCAGGTTCTGATGGATGAGCCAGGAGACCGGATGTGGGCAGTTTTCTGTGAAATTTTTTCATGTTTTATAAATTTTAGTTACAAAAATTTAATATTGCAAAAAATGAAAGTTTTTGCAGCTAAAATTCAAATTACCGTGACCTTTGACCTCATCTTTATCTCCTCCACTGAGTTAATTAACATAGTTTTAGCATATATCCTTCCGCTTAGTTTTGTTAATTAACATTCATGGCAGACCAGTCCATCAGAGCTCATAGTGGTTCAATGCCTTAACTTTTTTTGTAGAACTCCTGGTGGGTTTGAACTTCTGACCTTGAGGTTAGCCACCCAGCTACTCCACCAGGGCTCCCATGGATACCTATAAATCCATATTGACTCATTGGCGGTGAGTGAGTGATATAAATGGATATTGTGTATGGGATTTTACATAAATAGTATCATACTGTTTATATTCATCAGAAACTGGCTTTTTTCACTCCATTTATCTAGATAGATAAAAATATCTTTAAATATCTATCAGATGTTGATACATAGTTAAGAGGGGGAACCCCCCATTTTCCATTACTTGGAATGAAATTAATTACTATTTATATTATGAGGGGTTTTCTTGTTTGTTAGTTTCCCATTCATATATGCTTTTAGTTAAATGCTACACAAGTAATGCTATGAATAAATTGACCCTTAAAAATATATTAGACCATTAGGAATGAATGGAGCCCTGTAGGAACAGTGGTGATGCTTTGAGATGCTAACCTCCAGGTCAGTAGTTGGTAAACCACCAGCCCACATCGCAGGGAGAAAGATGAGGCTTTCTACTCTGGGACACCAGTGACAAACTCAGGCAGTTCTACCCTGTTCTACCCTGTTCTACAGGGTCTGAGTTGGGATCAACTCAATGGCAGTGAGTTTGGTTTGAATTGGGTATTAGGAATAAAGATAAAGCCCATTTTATCTCCCACATCATCCCAAACCTCTTGTCCATCTTATACTTTTTCATATATGATTCCATTATCTTTTAATTTCATTTCCACAAACTTTTTGAAGCCCCCATGTATTTGTGTGCATATATAT